TCGTGTCCCATCATAACCCATTACTCAGGATTTTCCCGGACGAGGATGCAACAGGAAGCCAAAGGTTGGAGGAGAGGGGGAAGGAGGGAGAAGCGATGACAGGAAGAAGGAGAACTGAAAAGGAGAAGAATAAGGGATTTAGAGAGGAAAAGAATGGTGGAAGAAGTAGAGATTGAGGAGGAAAGAAGGAGGGAAATGAGTGAAGAAATGAGAAGTTAAAAGAGAGAGAGAGAGAGAGGAGGACTGAAATGTAGGAAAATGGGAAGGAGCAAGGACGACAAAAACGAAGGCGCGGGAGATAAAAGACGAGAGGAATGAAGAAACTGAAAATAAAAATGAAACTGAAATGGTTTATTTAGCCACAATAAGTACTACAAATCACATGTCTTTCGGTATTACAGGTGATTCTTGGGTAAATATATATATATATAAATATAGTAATATATATAGAGATATAGGTAAATATAGGTAAATATATATATAGATATAGATATAGGTAGATATAGGTAAAATGAGGATACACCAACGAATAACATATCTGTTTGTAGGCTTCGGTGTAAAGAACATTTCTCATATGGTACATGTTGTCATGTTACTGATATTGCTGACGACATCTTGAACATTTGGGGTCAAGCTTAAAACGTGTGGTCAGCTTTAACTCTTTGAAATGTAGCACAGGGAAGAGGGGAGAGAAGGGAAGAAGAAAAGTGGAGGCAAAAGGATGAGAGGAATTGAAAGAGAAGGGAAGGATGAGAGGAATTGAAAGAGAAGGGAAGGATGAGAGGAATTGAAAGAGAAGGGAAGGATGAGAAATGAGAAAGAAGAGGAGGAAAGAAGGGAAGGAGATGGAGGAGAAGGGAAGTGGAAGGAAAAGAAGATGAGGAGGGAGAGATAGAAGAAAAAGAGGAGGAGAGAGGGATTGGCAGAAAGAGAGAGGAAGTGGAAGGAGAAGAAGAGGGAGGATAGTAGAAAAAGAGAGAGAAAGTAGAAGAAGAAGGAAGGAGAAGAGAAGAGGAGGAGGAAATGGAAGGAGAAGAAGAGAAGGAGGGAGATGGAGAGGAAAGAGGAACGAACGAATAGCTGTGTGGATGACGTTCCAGCGAGTGGTTTCTGTCTGTCGGTTCATCGGGATGGCACTGCAACAGAGGCGGTGACGAGAGCGTTGCAAGTGTTGCACTGAAGAGGTCGCCGCCGATATTCTCTGTTGACGATGAGGAATATGCTCTCAAAGAAGAAATGTTTTATCGTCTTTCTTTTACGTTTTGTCGGAAGAGAATTGTTTTATCGTCTTTCTTTTACGTTTTATTTGACTAACATTGCATATGATACGTATGCATATGTATGGGGGTACTTTTTAAAAAATTTATAAATGTATAATCTATTTTTGTGCTTTATTATTTCATTTGCCGATAATTTTTTTTCTGTTATTTACAATTTTAACTTTGTATCACGTTTTCAATATATACACATTCTTATTTTAATTATCATTATTATATGTTTCCATTATAATCATTATCATTATTAATGTTTCCATTAATCATTATTATCATTATCATCATTATTATCATTATTATTACTATTATCACCATTACTATAATCATTATCATTGTTGTTGTTTTATTATTGTTATTATTATCATTATAATAATTTTCATTAATATTATTATTATCATTATTACTATTAATATTATCATCATTATTACATTATATTAACTATTATCATTATTATTATAACAGCTATTATCATCACGATTATCATATTGATTATCATCATTATCAATATTATCATTACTACTGCTACTGTTACTATCATTATCATGATCATTATTATTACTACTGTCATTATTAACATTATTAAAAATTATCATTATTAGCATTATTACATATTACCATTATTATTATCATTATTATCATTACTATCGTTATCAAAATTATTCTTCATTGTCATCATTATCATCGTTATCATTATTGCCTTTATCATTATCACCATCATCATTTTCATTCTTAATATCATATTAATTTCTCGAAAAGTACGATTATATACAAGGCCGAATGACTCTAACAATAACAATAGTGATATTAATAATGATAGTCATAATGATAACGGCAATGATGGTAAATTAATCATTCCATGAGGAAAAAAACATCATAAACATAACTATTTATCAATTAAGTGTAAACCAATTAGTGCTATGTTCAAAACCTTGAGTTCGGAACCTTGACTCTGTAGGGAAAAGTACTTCTGAAGTAAAGTCATTCCGAACAGTCAGTCAGCCACGGCCGTTAAATCCTTGTAATCCGAGACTGTACAGTTTAAGCGAATCAGAGGACTGTAAGCCAAAAGGTCCACGAGATTTCTCTCACGTAACGCGAAAAGAAAAGAAAAAGAAAGAAAGAAAAAAAACTCAATTTTCCAGAGTTTTAGGAGATACTTTTTTCTCCCATTTTTTATGTTTCATTTAATTATCGTTCACTTTTCCTCTAATCTAGATGAACTTAATTGATTTCTTACCAAGTTCAAACCAGAAGTTAACGCAAGTCGTGCATGTTTGTTATTTTTTCTTCTCTTAGTATCGCTTCAATTAACTCTGATCTTTTTTTTCTCTTTTTTTCCCTCTTCTTCTTCTTCTTCTCCGAATCTCAATTGTCTTGCCACGCCTCAAAGGACAACGACCGGCTCTTTTGAAATGGTATCTCATTGTCAAAGGTCCTTGTACTTGAGAAACACAATGGGCTTTTAAAGAGAGCTTTCCCGAGAGAGCGCTGTCGAGTGGTGTAAAATTATGCCTCTGACAATGAGGACGAGGCGCTCGGAGGAACGAAACAAAAACAAGGGAATTGCGAGATGCGTGGCCTTCGCTTGGGGCTTCGGTCGGTATAAATAGTTTGCTTGTTGTGTTATGACAGGAAATGGGCCCTTTGGAGTAGAGTGTAATTGCGGTATCGGTGGTAGATAATCACATGATATGTACTCCTCGCCTTTCTGCACAGGTCTCTCTCTATTTTTCCCTTTGATATATCCATCTATTTATCCATATGAACACACGCACACACACACATTTATATATACTGTACACGCACACACGTGTGTGTGTGTTTGCGTATACTGTACACACACACAATAACTATCTATACGAGGGGCTTTTCACTACCAAATATCGCGTACGAGATCTCTGGGATTTCCAGATTTCCAAACAGGATTTCCTAGGGATTTCCAAAGTTTTAAATGACCAATAAATCATCGTAAATGTAAAAAGAGAGAAAAAAAACGAACCTCTTATCAGTTGTTACCAGCTTAACGTTATGCGTTAAAAAAATAGATTTTTCGTTTTCGTCATAATTTGATGGATTTACCTCGGGATTAACTACTTGGGTATCGTTTAAACCAACTCACTTCCAGAACAGATACTTGGAAATTTGAACATTTTGAAAGGAGAAAACATATTAATGAAAAAAAATCGGGAAAAGACATTAAGGGATTAACGTAAACCCATATGACCTTTCAGTTACATTCATAACATCATGTGTTGCTATTTTATTGATATAATGCTTTGCCAAGACCGTGCTTAATCCCTAATGCTTGGTGTGCATAATCTTTTCTTCAGCATGTTTTACTTCCTTTTGATAAAAGCCTGCGTCCCCGAAAAAAAAATCCGTAGTACTGATAGGTATTAAAAAAAAAACTCTGTATACCCAACAGGCCAATCAAATCACTTAAAACTTGGCACAGATGGTCGAGGCCTCAACATAGCACTCTACCCTTCAACTGTCTGTCGAAGTTTATGACACTTTCTTTTTACCATTTTTTAAAGACATACTTAATACTATTACCATTATTTTGGGAAAGGTTGCTGCGAATGAAACTTTTGCGAGACTTTAGGGCTCTTTAAATTTCCTGGAGATTTGCGGGTTTCCAAAGAATTTCTTGAGGATTTCCGGTATTTTTTTCGGAATTCCAGGTAGGGTGTACGGCTTTTCTGAAGTGAATTAACCCTCGTATCTGTGTGTGTGTGTGTGTGTGTGTGTTTTGTGTGTGGGGTGTGTGTATGTGTGCGTGTGTGTTGTGTGCGTGTGTTTGTGTGCGTGTGTGTATGTGTGCGCGTGTGTATGTGTGCGTGTGTGTATGTGTGCGTTTGTGTGCATGTGCGTGAGTATTTATACATATATCAACATAACCAAACCATTAAGCAATTGCATCTTTATCTTCGAAAAACCACTTAAAATTTTCATCACTCATCCATTTACGACTTTATACCACTGCCAAGGAGCGAAATAAAAATTTACTATTCATACTACTGCATGACGAATAATTGTTTGGTCTGCTTGTAAATATTTACCGTTTGGATACATAAATATAAGTAATTCCTGGCGTTATTTACATCTATCAAACTACCCGCTGACCTATTTCCCTACTTCTTTATTTTCTAAACTGAAATTAAGAACTAAAATGAACTGTCAAGCAAAAAGTTTCCCGTTTCTCTGTTTTCTCTTCCTTGCAATAAATTTACTGTTATCTTCCCGCTTTTCTTCTAAATGACGTATGAGAGCTATATATTTCTTCATTTTCACTTGTTAATCTGCTTAATTATCTATTTCTCTCCGCTTTCCTTTATCATTTTTTCCCTTTTCATCCTCTGCAGCAGGTGTTATCAGCTCTCTTCATCTTTTTTGGCAATACTGTATTGTACAACCGTTGATTTCGAAATAACTGTTGATTTCACAGTGATGAAAATGTGCTTGCGTTTTAGATATGATTATCATTACTCAGTTACATTTCCTTTATAATTTCATGAACAGTGACAGCTTCTAATTTTTAATACTATTTACTAGGATATCATATATCACTCCCTCCCTTTTCAGCTTAATAAAACATACGAAATTACACAAACCAGATATTTAACCTTATTTGGAAAACCACTAACCACCACACTCTACTTCCGCCAACCCGTTTTAATGACCCTAATTACCTATTATCTCATTTCAAAACGTGTCTTTTTCCAGGTCTTAGGAGAAGAGGATGTACTCTCAGAGGAAGAGCTGCAGTTGGTCTTCGGGAGGAGAGAAACAGGTGGGACTCCCGTTGTTGTGCGCATTTTCGAGGGTGATGCATTCGGTTTGCTGTGTGCATTTCCGTTGTTCAGGGTTTTCTGTCTCTGGGTTCTCGTTTCTTGGATAATGTGTATATTTTTTTATGGATATAGTATTTTGTTGTCATTTTAAATCAGGGAGGTTTAATATCATGATGAAATAGCAATGTAACTGCTATACTTATTACTATATTTCTTGAGAATTCACAAACAGTTAACAAACCATGATAATATATTAATTCTGCTTCATGTAATAATCATTGTGATTATTGCTACTGGCAGCTTTACTGACATTATTACTATTTTCACTAGTGCAATTATTATTCCAATATTTATCATCACCATCATCATTATTACCTTTTCTATCAACCTGTCATTATCCTCATCATCATCACCACCATTATTACTTTTGCTACCAAACTCATTATCCTCATCATCATCGCCATTATTACTTTTTCTATCAAACTCTTTATCCTTATCGTCATCACCACCATTATTATCTTTTCTATCAAACTGTCATAATCCCCATCATCACCACCATTATGATATAATTAATTTCCATCACCATAGTCCTCATCAACACCATCACCATCCCAAGCACCACCACATCACCATTCCCGTCCCTCATAACCCCTACCGCCGCCCCCCGCAGTGCCAAAGTACAACCTCGTGGTGCCACGGGTGTCTGGAGACGGATGGCACCCAAGGAGGAGCGCCCGGTCGGCTCCAGAGGCTCCTACTCTCAAGTTCGATGCTCTAGGACGGTCCTTCAACTTCAAGTACGAGCTTTTTAGAGGGAGTTTTAAGTTAAATCTAAACTTCATTTGACCCTGACCTAATATGACTTAATCTGGTCTAATTTAATACGTTTTTTTGGGGGATGAGGTTAAATTTGAATTCATTCTGACCTATAATTAATCTAAGTTACCCTATACTAATTTAACATATCCTAAGCCTAGTTCTGACTAACCTTAACTTACCTAATCTACCATAACCTCCCTTGCGAAGACTATTATTCAATGCATGACTTTAATAAAGATTATAACCCGTTGTTATCATTCTCCAATTGATACCATCATTTAGTAAACTTCTGTAACATTTTGCTGATTGTTTTTTTTTTTTTATTATTTATTATCTTTATCAGGCTAAACCAAGTCCTCAAATTCCATCCTACAATCTTTATAAAACTAACAAATCCTCGTGAAATTCCAAACTGCAATCTCTGTAAAACCCAAACAAATTCTCATGAAATCCCAGGCTACAATCTTTATAAACCTAAAACAAATCCTCATGAAATTCACAGACTACAGCGCAACACGGAATTAATATCGCCCGAGTTCGTGTTCATGCAGCGGAACGGCGACGAAGCTGACATCATGGACCTGGACGAACGGAATTACGAGATGTACTACCAGGGCGTCGACGACACGGGCGACTCCAACATCGCGGTCGAACTGAGCAATAATATTGTTAGTATCTTTTTTCTGAGGGGCAGGAGGGAGTTTTCAATAAACAATACATACATACATACATACATACATATATATATATACATATACATATATATATATATATATATATATATATATATATATATATATATATAAAAATATATATATATAATGTATGTGTGTATGTATGTATCTATATACATAAAGATACATACACACACACACACACACATATATATATATATATATATACATATATATATATATATAATATATACATACATACATATATATATATATATATATATATATATATATATATATATACATACATACATACATATATATATACATATACATATATATATATATATATATATATATATATATATATATATATATATATTCGCTTGACCAGCATCAACAGATCTAATAATAGATCCCAAATGAAGGAAATGGAATATTTCTAAAAATGCATAAGTCTACCCCTAACTTATTTTACCGCATTCGTTTTCTTTGATCCAGCGCGGCGTGATCACCAGCGCCTCCGACCAGTACGTGATCCAAGCCCTTCCGGAGACTGTGACACGCAGGAGGCGCAGTATTGAACCCGAGAGAGAGCGAGACGACGACGCCCTGCCGACACACATCGTTTACCGCAGAGAGAGTCACGATGAAGAATGTCCATCGGAGAGCCGTATGTAATGTGGCGATTATTAGTTTATTTATTTTTCTTAGATGTTGCCTATCATCCCTTTTCTTGTGAAGTTTTTCTAAACCAAGTGTTATTCCAAAATGTCCCATTTTCTTTGATCGAAAGAAAATAGCTACCATAATCTAGGGTAAACTCAAAAAGAAATATTCATTCCCGCAGACTCGCGACGTCGCAGATCTTTCATCTCAGACACGGAGGAGATTTCACGGATGGAGGCCCAGCAGGAGGAGTCGAGGGCAGCCCTAGGAGCACGCGAAGGCAGGAGATCCTACTACGACAGCTTCGAACATGTCGTAGATGAACAGTTACGGTCGGAGTGGCATCGCGACAACCGCTACGGGCCAGAGGGACACGAGGACACCAGAGCCAGGTAGGAGCAGGGGGAGGAAGGGAGAGGGAGGGAAGGAATTAGGAAAGATAGGAAGGAAATTAATGAAGAGAAAAGTGGGGAGGATAGAGAGAGAGAGAGAAGTGGAGGGAGAGAAAGGGAGAGATGGAGAGAGAGAGAGATAGTGAGGAAGAGAGAGAGAGAAAGAGAGATAGGGGAGGGAGGAGAGAGAGAGAGAGAAAGAGAGAATTAAAAATTAAGAGAGAGAATGAAAGAGACCGTAAGAGAGAGAGTGAGTGAAAATACACAGAGAGAAAAACAAGATAAAAACAAGAGAGAAAGAGCAAAAAACAAACAAGAAAGGAGGGATCGACCCCCTGTCACTGCCCTGCGCGGAAGTTCCCACAGCTAAAGACCCCATAGAGATCGCTCTTGCATGGCTAATCCCCACCATGAACCCCTAATTTGCCTCCTCATCGTTACCCACTTCCTTCCAGGGGTTTCCGAGGCGAAGACCTGTACATTGAAACGGCTGTGTTTGTTGACAAGGACCTGTACCGGCACATGCAGGATAACTTCCCGAGGGACACGGAGGACCAGGTGCTCAAGGTGGTCCTCGCTATGGTCAACGCTGTGAGTTATTGTCCTGTCTGTCACTCGTTTACGTTATTTACTTTTTTATCTTGCATACTTTCTTTTCTTTTTTTCGTTCTGTTCTAATCCTCTCTTATTATATTTGTCTTTTTCGTGTCTCTCTGTTTGCACTTTTTAAAAATAGATTTCCTCCATTTCTAGAGTAAAATTCTCCCTCAATAGCCGACCTAACGCCCCTCCTCCCTCGCCCTCAACCAGGTACAACTCCTCTACAACGACGACACTCTCGGCCACAGGATCAAGTTCGTCCTCAAGCGCCTCGAGATCTTGTACAAGGACCCGACGGACCTGCACCGCCCTTACGACATCGACAACCTCCTGACGAACTTCTGCTCGTGGCAACGCAAGGAGAACCCGCCCAGGGACAGCGACCCTTTGCACTGGGACCACGCCCTCATCCTCACCGGCCTCGACGTCTTCACCATCAACTCTAAGGGCAGGGTCAACTCACAGGTCGTCGGTGAGATTGCGAGGTTGCTTTTTTATCCTTGGGGACTGAGGACTTTATGTTTGCGGGCGTAGGTGAGAAGTGAATGGGGAGATGAGAAATGGAAGGAAGTGAAAAGGATGTGAGGAGAGGTGAATCTGCCTTTTTTTTAAATCTCCTTTTGATCTTTTGTTTACGGGTGTGGGAGATTTCTTCAACTATCTTCTTCCGGGGAAATAACAGGAGCAAATAACAGGAACAATAGTGTGTGCGCGTGTGTGTGTGCTTATATGTATTACTAAATACCCCGCTCTCCGCTTCCCCTAGGTCTGGCTCCGGTCGCAGGCATGTGCACGCCATCCAGCTCCTGCACCGCCAATGAAGGTCGCCATTTTGAATCTGTTTACGTTGTGGCGCACGAAATCGGCCATAAGTAAGTCCGTCTCCATTATTATAAGATTTTATGCATTAGTCTGTCTTTCATCTTCATTCCGTAGTAATCGCAGATATCGATAGTGTCATAAAATCAGAAATTTTACCGCACACAGTAACGTTTAACAACACCGATGAAATAAGGATAACATCAGTGATAATACCACCATTTCAGGTTAGAATTTATTGTAACAATAAAGAAGCATGGAAGACAATATTCAGACGAAACGAAAAAATAAAATTGAATACTTTTTCAAAGACCACGCAATTCTGACGGCGAATTATCGAAATATCAACTGGACATCTTGCAAAGTGAGATTCATACCACTCCCGTTGTAGCGTAGGTTAGGAGGGGGGGGGGGGATTTTCAACGCTCCCGGACTCTTCAAATTAGTAAATAAGTAAATGTGGAAGTGAAAAAAATATAGATAAATAGATGAATAGGCAAAATAGACAATGTACATTTTATTTTCGTTTTATGGTCTTCACACAGAAATGTATTTTCTAATCAGTGTAGACTACAATGATATCAACCAGCAAGAAATGTACATTATATTCGTTGATTTTATTCTTTTTTAAAAAGTTTGACAACAAATAAGAATACAAATACCTTTACTTTATCCAGCAAATTTTTAAACAAATCTAAAAACTAGATATACAAAATATAGCGACCCCTCAAAGGACATAAACCCCCGAGCTCCAAATCTCTAGCAACCCCCAACTCACGCCCTTTGTACAACACCCCTACTCACCCCTTGGTACAACACCCCTACTCACACCCTTTGTACAACACCCCTACTCACGCCCTTTGTACAACGCCCTTGCCACGCCCATTGCACAACGCCCCTCCTCTCCCTCCCAGCCTAGGGATGCGCCACGACGGTCTCCAGGCAGGCAACAACTGCGACCCCGGCAGGTACCTCATGTCACCGACCCTGGGTTCCGGCAAGATCACCTGGTCTTCCTGTTCGAAGCGCTACCTTGATGATTTCCTAAGGTAAGGGATATTTATTTTCTCTTTGTCTGTTTACTTATTGTTTTATGTATTTTATTTGCTTATTTTATTTATTTATTTCATTTTAGTATTGTTATTTTTAGGGGGCCTTTTCTATATTATTTTTTTCTCATGTATATCTTCAGATTTTTCGTACCTGATGTAGGGATTTTTATTTATTTATTTATGTACTTATTTATTTTTATTTATTTGTTTATTATTATTGTTTTTCTTTTTTTTGGGGGGGTCGGGGCTAGGTTGCTCCGGAATATGTATGAGAATAGGAATATTATTATTAATCATTGTTCATATTGACGAAGAAATTACACAGATATTGTTGGAAACTGAAAGATTACTGATGATTGACACAAGAATATTGCACCAACAGATATTGTTGAAAATTGTTAAAATGTTGAGTCATACCATCAAAAATAGACAAAAGATGATAACAAAAGCAGCAAAACTATACATGTATATAAAAAAATCCTAGACTTCAACCGGTTTCCACTCCCCAGTACACCGCAAGCAGAGTGCCTGCGGGACTCGGCGCGCCCCCTGCGTGACCCGCTCAACCACGAGCAGTATTCTCCGCCGGGACAGCGGTTTTCGGCCGACCAGCAGTGTGAGTGCTGGGGTCACGGACTCTATTTATCTATTTATTTTTACACTGCAATTTACCCCGGCTCCATTATCATCATTATCATTTCCAGTATCATTGTTATCATTAATATTATTATTATGACTGTTATCATTATTATTATGACTATCATTATCATTATTATTATGACTATCATTATCATTATTATTATGACGATCATTATCATTATTATTATGACTATCATTATCATTATCAATATCATTATTGCTATCATTATTAATATCGGTATCATTACCATTTCCAATACCAGTATCATCACCATCATCATTATTTCATTATTATGATTAGTTAGAGAACGTTAGAATCTGCAATACAGTGTTTGAAAAAAAAAACATAAAAAGCACTTAGAGCCAATTCCGGGGATTCCCCTATGCTCTTCCTTTCCATTGTTTCTTCTATTCTCTTGCCTTCCATCCTCTCCCTCCCTTCGCTCCCTACCCCCCCCCCCCTCTTTACCCTATCCACCCCCCTTCCCACCCTATCCCCCCGAAAGTGTCATCGTGAATAGGGAGACAATTTCAATACCAGTTCACTTACCGCAACTTTAACAAAAGCGTCATGGCGGCTCGACCGTTACACTGGCGGTTAAGAGGAAAGCTTTTGAATTTCCCGCGTTTTGTTTACCGTGTCCTCTGCACCTCAGTCAAGGTCGAAGTGATTTTGGTTGTTTTTTTTTCTCTCTTTTTGTGTTTGGATTATATGTTGGAATGGAATTGCGTCTAGTTTGCATTAATTACTGTTTGCATTTCCTACGGAGGTGAGTTATTATTGCATTGCTCTCCGTTCAACGACCGCTTCAATAGCAACAATTTCGTCCTTTTGCATTTAGATGAATAGGTATATTTTTCCTTATTTTGATCCATGGAGCTGAATAGGCCCCTGTAAGCAAGCTGTGTAAAACATGCAGAGAAAATCCTAATTGTGATATCCTAATGCCATAACTGAGGCAATGTCCATTCTTATATTGTTTTATTTAATCATTTATTGTTACAAAACCTCTTGCTCAAAAATCAATTATTCGTTTATTCAACTACATTTGATTCTCTTTTGAGCTAAAAGCATATATTCCTTCATTTAAGCCTGTTTACTCTAAAATCTTAACACTATTCATTCTTATAATTATTTACTCGTTTATTCAACCTCTTGCTCTTAAATAATTCATTCATTAATTCAACTATATTAAAGCTTCTTTACTCCAAAATCAGGCATGTTGAAGCACGGCGTCGGCAGCATTCACGCGGCATCGCAGCCCCTAGCGGACATCTGCCAGGACCTGCACTGCCTCTCCACAGAGATCCCTACACCTGGACATCGCATCCTGCTCTCGAAGGAACCACCTGCGGCCACAGAAAGGTATTTGAATAAGGGATGTAATAGGAGATGTATCAGGTAGAGATGGTATCAAATATGGATTTTTTTTCCAGTGAGGGGGAGTATGATTGGCACTGGTAACGAAATAAGAGAAGAGAGGGTACGGTTGGCAAAAAACGATGTTATTGATGTCACACTTTCTTTGTTCTTAGGAATATAAACGTGTTTTCCGTTTGTCACAAGACAGAAAATAGCAAATGTGATATTTTCCCCACAATTAACGCCTTTGAAATCGTTCTCACATTTCGATTCCCTGTCCCCAGTGGTGTCGCAGAGGGCGCTGTGTGGACGACGCCCAGGCCCCTACCCTGCCCCTGTCCTCCGGCCACTCCCCCTCCTCCGCCTCATTGACCTCTTCCTCTTCCTCCGCCTCTACCCTCCTTCCTACGGGCGTGGGGAGTGGAGGGCGAGTGGGGGCCGTGGTCTGCCTGCAACTCCGAGTGTCTGTACAGCGTCGACGGCGTGTTGTCTTCGGGAAGTACGGGTCTCTCGCTGTCGGAGAGGCGGTGCAGGTAAGGGCTTCGATCTCGTTCTTTTTACCTATATATGTATATTTTTTTTCTCGTGGGAGAATTCTCTTTCGACTGATGAAGGTTTGTTAGGGTGTTTCTTCTTATGCTTATTTTATAATATTCTATAATAAACTCATTTCTCTTCCATGAAAAGAACTTAAGAATATTCATTATGGATGGCGGATAAAATATCATAAAGCGATCGAATTTACACCTTATGCAAACCGTTCAAAAACAAAAACAAATATAAATATATATATATATATATATATATATATATATATATATATATATATATATAATGAATAAAACTTTAAAAAATACATATATTTATAAAAGGCCGATAGTACAAGATCTTAGAGGAATCCGAAAATGAAGGTCGTTTCGTAACCTTTTACTTTGGAAATATTTAAAGGTCAGGGAACCAATAGTATGTATCTGGTTGTGAATAATTGATGTTGATATTTTCTTTTTTTGGTATTTTAGGGTATAGTTGAAAGGGTTCTTGTAAGGGTTTAGAAAGATGTGTAGAGGGAGAGGTAGACTAATATATAAGTAGGGTTATAAATAGACGTTCAAGTAGATTGTCACGTTATTATCCCGGAAAAAAGAAGAAAAAGAACAATATATAATGAAACTCTAACCATGATGATAACACACACACACACACACACACACACACACACACACACACACACACACACACACACACACACACACACACACCACACACAACCACAGACACACACACACATTTATATATGTGTGTGTGTGTTGTTTGTAACTATATAAGTACTGTTAGAAATATGAGGAGAAAAAATACAAATCCACTCACCCCCCCCCCCCCCCCCTGCCGCACCCAGGACGTGCCACGGCGAGTACAGGTACCGCGTGTGCTCGGCGGTGCAGAAGTGCAGCGCCGGCCGCCGCAGGACCGTGCAGGACTTCGCCGACGACACCTGCCGCGACACCGCCAGGAACTCCGCCTTCCTCACGGGGCTGGCGGCGAGGGTGCCCGCGAGAGGTGAGGCCGAGGCTGGCTGCCCGGTTGTCTTTTGTGCGGGATTTGGTTTATGGATTTTTTTTTTCGGCATAGATAGATCAACTGATAGATTGGTGGATATATATAAATAAATAGATAAATAAATAAATATATAATATATATATATATATATATACATATATATATATATATATATATATATATATTATATATATATATATATATATATATATATATATTATATATATATATATATATATATATGTATATATATATATATATATATATATATATATATATATGGTATAAAAACCCACAATGCACAAACTAGATTAATTGAGGAAAGTGAGAACAGTTTCGGAATCGTCCTCGATTCCATCGACCCGAAAATGGAATCGAGGACGATTCCGAAACTGTTGTTTCACTTTCCTCAATAAATCTAGTTTGTGCATTGTGGGTTTCTGCCATAGTATCAACACGGCAGTGTTTTCTATTCATACCCGCCCCCCTACGCATATAACCCCTCCCCTCCCTCCTCCCCCCCCAGGCCCGTCCCAGTGCGAGGTCCAGTGCGAGACGAGCGGCAAGGGCGAGCGGTCGTCGGGCAGGTCCTTCCCCGATGGGACCGTGTGCGCGTCGCCTTCCAGATTGCCCTCCTACTGCGTCGCCGGCGTGTGCACGGTGGGTGGGCTTGGCTTTCTCGATGCTGCCTTCTCTGTCTTTTTTGTGTCTTTTTTTTTTTCTTCTTTTTTTTTACTCTTTTTCTTTTTCTCTATCTCATTCTTCTTTCTTATTATTTCTTCGTTCTCTTAACCGTTGGCATCTTCCATTTTTTTTTTATGGCTTTTTTCGATTTTTTTCATGCCTAATTTTCTATTTTCCTCAGTTCTATTTTTGTATGTCTTTAATTATCTTTTCAGCTTTTGTTTCTTTCTGACTGGTGTGATTTTTACGTATTCTTTGGTTATTTCATTTTGACTTTCCTGTCAATTGGCTTATTTTTTTGTTTGTTTCTCGTTGTAATTTATAGTTTTCACACCCTTATGCAACTATTTTTTTATTTCTATGTTTTAATCTTTTTTTTTCTATTTAGATATTCTTTCCCATAACCTTTTTTTTTTCAAAATTATCATTAATTTTCTTTCCTTTAATCTTAAACATTTTATCACTCCATGTCTCCCCTCTAACCCCTCCCCCCCCTCCCTCCCCCCACCTGCAGAGTTCCGCTGCGAGGCCGACGCTCTCTACGGCGCCGACCCTCTCACCTGCCGACCTGACATGGCGCCCCCGACCCCACCGCCCCCTCGGACCTCCCACGCAAACACGCGCCGCACACCACGCCCCCTCGACACACCACGCCCCAGCCTCCTGCAGGATACGGCGAGACTGGCGTGTGGGGCCCGTGGATTCCTGCGTCTACGTGTCGTGCTAGGTGGGTCTAACGGAGATGGTGGGGTTATTTATTTAATTGCCTCTGCTAAGGAATATTATTTTTTGGGTTGCGTTTGTTTGTTTGTTTGTTCTTTGGTTAGTTGGATAACTCAAAATATTATTATTATTATTATTTTTTGGGGGGGTTAGTTGGATAACTCAAAATATGATTTTTTTTTTTTTTTTGGTTAGTTGGATAACAAAATGTTAGGATTTTTTTTTTTTTTACTTTACCCAAAAAACTTCAGTTAAAGTTAAATGATACGTTTTTTTCCCCTTCGTAACAGCTGCGTGTCTTCAGCAAAAGGGATTCAGCTTGTAAGTCGCGACTGCAGAAGCCACAGGTGCACGGGTATTAACAGGAACATTCAGATTTGCAATCCTTCTAATTCGGTAAGTGGATTTTGTGAAGGTAGGGTTGTGGAATGTAAGGAAAACGCATAAATCTTCTTTTTTCTTCTTCTTCTCTTTTTTAAATTCAATAAAATTTTGCAATGTGCATTTTATGTATTTTTGAATCTTCTGAGGAATATTTTACCGTTCGTATGTTGTGTTAATTTTCCAGTTCGTTGCATTATTGCCTAAGTATTTTTGTAACTTTGCATGATCAGAAAATAAATCAAATAAAATTGGTATTTATGTGAACAGATCGAATAAAGGTAGATAATAGATAATAATCCATAGCCTTTATAAGTCGAAAGCCAACAACACCATCACTCAAATATTCCTATTATCAGATACTTTAATTCCAAGAACCAATGACACTATCACTTAAATACTCCTATTCTTAATCACAGTGCCATCTTTGCACTATTCCTATCACACTATTCCCTATTTACAGTCATTATTCCCATTCCTATGACTATTCCCATAACTATTTATTGCCATTGTCCCTGTTCCTATTATTTCTATATCTACTTACTCCTATCATCTCTGTTCCTATCAGTATTACCATAATTTCTGTTCTTGTCATTATTTTCATAACTATTAATATTATAATTCCTGTTCCTATTATTATTTATATAGCTAATTACTACTATAATTCCTCTTCCTATCACAATTCATATAATTATCAACACAACCATATTACACTTCCTATCACCTAACATTATTTCTATAACTATTTACTACCATAATTCCACTTTTTGTCATTTTCCCACATCTATCAATACAGCCACCATTCCTCTTCCTATCATAAATCCTCTAACTATTTATTACCATAATTCCAGTTCCTATCAATAGTCCCAAAGTTATCAATACTACCATTATCCCTCTTCCTATCAAAACTACCATTATTACACTTCCTATCAATAGTCCCATACCTATCAATACTACCATTATTCCTCTTCCTATCAATACTACCATTATTCCTCTTCCTGTCATAATTCCTATAACTATTTCTTAGGGCTGCGAGCGAATCCAGTCGACTTTCGAATACGCGAGTGAGGTTTGTCGTCGATATATGACAGAGGTAGATCAGCTGTCTGGGATTGGCATGCAGCTGTCAAGTACAAAGGGTAATTTTTTTCTTCTTTTTCTCCTGTATTTTGTAAGATGTCCTTGTAATATTTGCTCTGATTGGTTAATTTGTTATTATTATTTATTATTAATGTGTTATTAGGATTGTTGGACTAAAGAAATATATTTCCATGTGGAATTCGTCGAATAAAGTTTAACAATTTCAGTTTCATTTCTAACACCTTCCTCCTCCTGCAGATGACCCGGACCGCGCCTGCACCGTGGCCTGCCAGGACGCCCGCCTCAACTACCGCTTTTACCGCGTCAACGGCGGCGACGGCTGGTTCCCCTTCGGCACCGACTGCGCCAGGGGGACCGCCGGCCGCTCCGCCTACTGCCTCAACGGGAAGTGTTTGGTGAGTCCGTGGTGACAGAAAATGGGAATTTAGGAGCGGGTTCTGGAGAGAGTGGGAAGTTGGCGTTGGGTTCTATAGAAAACGGGGGTTGTTTTAGAAAATGGGGATTTGAGGATTTTGGATTTTTTTTTTTTTTTTACGATTTCTTGTAGTTGAGTGTTTTTTTTCTCCAGAGTTGATAGGTTAACTGAAGTGGACTAAAATAGATTTCCTCAAAATAACACAGCTCTTAAGAGGGGGTCGTGTTTTAGAAAATGGGAATTTTGAGATTGTATGGATAGAATGTTTTTTTTTTTTTTAACGATTTACTGGTTTAAAAGAGTGTTGGGTTTTGAATTTCTGCCAGGACTGATGGCTTAAATGAAGACTATATGATAACAAATTTCCCCAAAATCATACATATATATCCGCATCAACTCATATTTCCTCTCATTTCCACTTCTGAATGTTTGTAACGAAGAGTCTCCCCTTCGTTCGCAGGACTTCTCGAACGAGGGAACGCCCTTGCGCAACACGATCTTCACGGAGTACGAGCGGCAGCGGTCCTTGGACATGGAGCCGATC